TTCTGCTCGACAGCCCCTGTGGGCATTGCTGCGGTCTCTCGTGCTGGCAAGGGCAGCCCCCACTCTGCCCTCAGGTGCTGGCGAGGTTGAGGTTTTCCTGTCCCTTGGCACCAGTACAGAAGGCTCTAGGACTTAATCCTCAGCCAAGCAAAATGAGCAGCAGGCCTGGGAGTCGGCCTGATGCGGGGTGAGGCTCCGCGGGTCAGGAGGGCAGCATGGTGTCTCTGCCTCCCTGTGTCCCACAGGCTGGGCAGGAGGGGTCTCGCTTCTCCCTCTTGCAGCCAGCCCTGCAGGGGGTTGGGGCTGTGTGCGTCGTCCTGCCTAGGGGACCAGAGCCAACTGGCAATCCCACCTCCCCCCGTGAGCCGGGGACAGTGGCTGCTGTGGGGGGCGTTGCAGGGGAGACGGCAGAGCGCGCACTGCCCACCTGTGCAGCACTTAGCCAGGTGCATTCCTCAGCAGCATCAGTGATTAGCTGCTGTAGCCGGGAGGTGGAGATGGGGCTGGATGGCCCAGCATCGTCCTCCAGCCTGCACTGCCCCGGGTCTGGCCTCCCCACAGGCTCTCTCCTGTCACGTCCCTCAGCCTGAGCTGTGAGTAAAGCGTCCAGCTCAGCGTGAGTGAGTGACAGTAGTGCCTGGACACCCCCCGGGATCCAGCCTCATTGTGCTGGGTACACTCAGAGACCCCCCCTGCCCTGAAAATCGTACAGTCCAAATAGGCAAGACAGAGCCGGGGGGGGTGGGGGAGGAGAGAAAAGCAGCAGCATTCTCCCCATTTTGCAGGTGGGCAACTGAGGCCCAGGGATGAGGTGACTTACCCAGGGTCACCTGCAGAGTCTGTGTTAGAGCCAGGAATTGAACCTGCGTCTCCTGAGTTTCAGTCCTGTGCCCTATCCATAAGGCCCTGTGGCAGGTCTGTGGCAGGCTTTGGCTGCAGTTCCCAAGAGCATCCGTCTGCATCCTAACTCCACTTCCTCTTCTCTTTTGTTTCCAAGTGATCAATGAGCTGGATGGCCTGGCCAAGGGCCCGGAACTGGAGCATCGGGCTGGGGGCCATGCCCGCCTGCTGCAGGAGAAAGCCAGGAGATCCATTGAGTTCCTGGAGGAGCGCTTTGAGAATCGCGACAACTGCATGAGGGCTCTGACTAGCCGTGGCAACGAGCTCGAATCCATCTCCTTCCGCAGCGAAGACACCACCGGCCAGCAGGTGAAGGGAGGTGCAGCCCAAAGAGGACACTGCTGGGGGGAAGCTTGCAGCACGGGCATCCCCATTTCTGCAGTGGTGATGAGGTGCTGGGCAGAGCTTCCAGGCATGTGGGCAGAGGGCATCCCAGGGCTGGAGGGCAGCTGTCCCTCACTCCCACCCAGGAACCCTCTCCACATCTCCAGCCAGATGTGCTTGGAGCTGCCCAGCCCTGGGGGTCGGTGCTGCAAGGCAGAGTTCAGCAGTTCTCTTTCCTGACATGGGTCATGTCGTCCTTCCTTCCAGGGCAACAACGACGACCTGATTCTGTCCTGCTGTCTCCATTACTGCAATGACAAGGCCAAGGACTTCATGCCCACCAACAAAGGTACAAGCACAGGGTCAGGGCCACTCACAAAGACGTGAGGGCCCACACACTGTGCCCAGGCACCTGAGAAAGAGACCTGGGCCCCACACGCCAGCCATGGACTGTGCCGGGCACCCAAGGAAGCAGAGGCTCAGGGACTTTATCACTCTGGTCCTTTTGGCTTCCCCTCCCCTCACACGGTGCTGTGTGCACGCGTCCCTCGGCACGTGCCAGAACCTGGAGCCACTGTGCTGTAGGAGCAGCCTGTGCTCAGCCCTCCTGGGAGTAGCATTCTGCTCATTGGTCAATCTATTACCAGCAGCCTCCCGCAGGATCAGGGTGCCGTGTGCTGGTGCTGATCAAACACAGCCTCTGCTTTGGGCAGCTGGCAGTCTAAGGGCTGCTCCACACAACGTTAGGCTGGCTTAACTACATCGCTCAGGGCTAGGAAAAACGTCACTCCCTGTGCAATATAATTATGCTGCCCTAAGCCCCAGTGTAGACCCCACTGTAGATTCTACTGCCTATTGGCGAGGTGGATTGACTGCAGTGCTGGAAGAACCCCTTCCAGCTCTGTGGTTAGTGCCTCCACGCCAGCGCTACCATTGCCTGTTCCCTCGGAAGTGGCACATGGCGCGTATCCCGGGGCTGTCTGCGCACGGCAATGCCCTCCCCTCCGTTTGCCCACTTGGCGTCTGGCGCCATGTACTAAAATCAGACGATCCCAGAGCTGTTTGCAGGGGCTGCTGGGACGGGAATTACATCAGCAGCTGCTCCAGAAACGCACATTTGTCAGCGCAGATTCTTAGCAGCTTAACTTGTCAGATTCACAGAGAAACCGTCACCAAATGTTTATGCGTAAATGATGCTGAATTTTAAAATCATGTGGATTATGGTGGATGGGGCCTGACAAGCTGACAGCCTCTGGTTTGTAACAAGGAGCCACGTCACCAGGCTGAGAACAGAGGATGTTTATTGTTACACATTTCTCAGTGTCCGCACAAAACCTCCTGATCCTGCTGCCAACAGATCCCTGCCCCCTCCCTCCCCCCAACGCATCAGGTCCCAGGACGCCCTCCTATGAGTCTGCCCCTCCCAACCCAGCAGATCCCAGGAGCCCACCCCTCACAACACAGCAGGTCCCTAGACACCCTCCCTTGGGCCTGCCCCTCCATGTAGCAGATCCTGGGTCCATGGTGGGCTTCCAGGGACTCTTTTTTTTCCATTCAAGCCCTGATTTGGAGGCACGGTCACAGGATCCAGCTGCTTACACCCTGTTCGCTTCCCCTGCTCCACTGTCATGTAAGCAGAGTTCCCGCAGCCCCAGCCCAGCGCGATGTGTGCAGGGCAGCTCACCCGTCTAGTGGGCGAGACCATTTCAGTTATTTCTCAGGGCTCAGCCCTAATGTTTGTGGCCCTTCAAAGGCAAAATGACTCTCAGAATGAGGTTTGGTTTTAAAGACCTTACAATGAGCACCAGTGTCCTGCTGGGACGTACGTCAGAGGCCGTATTCCTGCCCCTCAAATGTGCTGCCTGCTCTGTGCGTTCTGCTTTACACACAACCCCAGCCTGGGGCATGGCAGGGCCCTCTCCAGGGTTTGTGTGGGACGGAAGGACGGACGGACATGCTGGGGATACATACGGGGGCCAGATCTCATCTGTGATAGGGACGCAGCATGGCTGCTGTGCCAGGCCCTAGGGCTGTCTCTGGCTGGCTTCAGGGGTCAGTCGGCAGAAGTCACGAGGCTCCATCAGAAATGATCTGCTCATGAGCCGGACAGCTGAGCCACACACCACAGGTGCCAGGAGGGGTCATGCCCTGTCCAGGGCACCTGCACGGCGTGGGGACACCTTGCTGTTTGCCTTCAGTACATAGTGCTTCATAGCCCAGGTAGAATATCCTCGCCAAATACCAAAGAGCACCGCTGGGACTGTGCCCTGGGCAGAGCACGTGTCTGCAGCTGGCAGGGTTTGAGGACGGGGAGGTTGGGCCAGGCATAGGGACAGCATGAAGGAAAGAACCGAGTTGAGTGGGAGAAGCAGCCCAAGCGGGAAGAAGCAAAGAGCAGGCCGGGGCAGCATTTGGTGGAGCAGAGCTGGGTGGCTGCATGGCCGTCGTGTGCTGACAGCAGAGTTCAGGTGGTTGGCAGGGGCTGGTTAGCTCTCCCTCAGGACAGGAGCTACCCCTAAGCACACGTCCTCTCTGGTTATTGTTTCAGATGATCCAATCCGTCTGCTCAGAGAGGTGGTGCTGCTCACGGACGATCGGAACCTGCGTGTCAAGGCGCTGACCCGGAACGTGCCCGTGCGAGACATTCCCACCTTCCTTAAGTGGGCCCAGGAGGGCTGAGCGGGTGTGACTGAGGAGGAGATGTCCCTGCGTGAGTGACGCAGCGTGTTGCTGGTGGGAGAATGGCTTTCAAGGCAGCCCTGCACCACCACCACTGCCTCCCGACCCACCATTGAACAATAAACACCACGTCTTCAAAGCCAGCCCCGAATGGCTATGCTGCAAAGGGAAGGTCCCTGCTGTGGATGGGTCGTGCGGAGGCCAGGACTCTGCGGGTTGCCAGGGCCTTTGGGAAGAGTGGGGGGGCGGAGCAGGGGGGCACTGGTCCCTGGGGAAAGCTTTGGGCTAGCCCCATTGCCCTTGTCAGCATCCTTGACTGGAGAGAGCTCCCATTGGAGGCCAGTGTTCTCCTTGGAGCTGTGCTCTGAGCCGGCCAGAGGAATGGGAGCCTCCTTTCTGTTAACTGGCTACGGAAAGTGGGAGGGACCTGGCGTTGTGGCAGTTCCTGCTGGCGGTTTCCAGAGGCGCTTGTGTTCCTGCTGGAGCCCTGGCTGCACCCCCGAGACACTGAACGTGGAGGTCAGGGTCTGTCCTGCTCTCTTGGCCATTTCGCTCACACCTTGGCTGTTCCTCTCCGCCTGTCTCGATTCTTTCATCTGTCCACTTGGCTGGCAGCTCATTGGAGCCCTAGTTGTGTCCCACGGGAGTCGGGCTGCAGCAGCCCCATCACTTCCCAACACTGGAGTCTGGGTGGAAAGTAACGGATATTTGGCTCCTTTTCCCCTTTTGAAGATGCTCTGGTCCCCTCTCCAGCACGGGGGCAGCAGGTCCTGCTCTGAGAACCTCACCACGAGCTTTAGGGTTGTCTATTGTTCAGGATCCATTGCTGCTAAGGAAAAGCATTAAATACCCAGGCTGCATTGTACCTTGATTGCGCCATACATCCTCTGCCCCACATACCTCCTGAGCCCCCTGCTCTGCTCCCCTGCCCCACACACCCTCTGCTCCTCTGCCCCACATACCTCCTGAGCCCCCTGCTCTGCTCCTCTCCTCTGCCCCACACAGCCTCTGCTCCTCTGCCCCATATACCTTCTGAGCCCCCTGCTCTGCTCCTCTGCCCCATATACCTCCTGGGCCCCCTGCTCTGGTCCTCTGCCCCATATACCTCCTGGGCCCCCTGCTCTGCTCCCCCCTACGAGAGGCACACCCTTAGATCCTGCCCCACACACTCCCTGCCTTGTCATGCTTGTAACCTGCTCTTAAGGCTTTGCCATTACAATAAATCTCTCCCTTGAGTCCCCCTGAGCTTGTGACAGGCCAGGCTGTGGGGTCCTGAGGGAGCTCCCAGGGGCTGTCTACGGGGCCAGAGGGACACTGACCTGACAATGGTTCCTGCTTGAGCAGCTTTGCGAGCCCCAGTTGCCCCTTCAGCATGGATGGGGAGCCCTTGAGCTGACCCCATTGGCATTGAGCCTTGTCAGGCAGCGTCGTCTCCAGAGTGGACAGGGTCCCTCGGCGCCGGGCATTGGTGCAGCTGGGGCTGAGCTCTGTCTCCTCCATGGAGCCAGGCCCTCCTAGTCAGACAGAGCCCTAGTGGGGCATCCCAGGGCGCAGAGGCTGAGGGAGCTGTAGTCACCTCCAAGCTCCTGCAGCTAGGCCAGGCCTCTGCAGAACAGCCCAGGGAGCTCTGTGGCCAGGCAGGTACCCAGCACCTTCAGGAAGGCGCAATGTTGCCCTCTCTAGGGACTTTGCTGTACTCCCAGACCTTCCCCACGCAGGGCCAGCATCTCTGCAGGAGCCCAGGGTGCGAAGGGCCCTGTGGGGGGAGTGGATGGAAGCTGGAGAGGGAGGCAGCAGGACCGAAGCCAGTGAGGCAAGCGGGGGGAACGAGAATGCAGCGCTGCTCCTGGCTGCTCAGTCCCAGGGGCATTGGGGAGGGGACGGTGCTCTCTCTGGCCTCCCTCAGAAGAGCGGGCGGCGGCTGCTTACTGGCAGACGAGGGGGTTTCTCTCGCCACCAGCAGCTCAGTCACCCCTTCCCCAGGTGCTGCCTCACCTGGGACCTTGGCGTGGGACAGGGCTGGGGCAGGGCTGAGCCCCCAGATTACAGATGCCAGGGTAGCCTGAGTCCTCCGTGCTCACCAAGCAGTGCTAGCCAGGTGCTTTGCAAAGGGCCTCGCAGCCTCACTCCAGCCCGACTTCCTGTCACAGCTCACTCCGGGGTGGCTAGGCGACAAGCCCGTGGCCCGAGGTTGGGGCTGTGACACACAGGCAGGAAGGCTGGTATTGTCCCCACGACAGCTGCTAGGGAGGTCTCCAGGCCAGAGCCTGCCTGCTGGAGCCGCTGCCGCCTGCTACTGGACACCCAACCCAGGCTCTTAGGACTAAACTGTGCCAAGGGGAGCCTGCTGGCGGGGTCTGTGCAAGGAGCTGGGGCAGGCGACGTTCGCCCATTGACTTTTCCTCAAACCGTGCTGTGTTTGAAACGTTTGTTCTGACGAACCTGCTGAACTCTGCTATTGAGCGGCCGCGGCGTCAGGGGAGAGCTGGCCAGTGAAAGGGACAGTCAGCATCAAACCGGACACCCTGGGCCCTCCCCTGGCACCCTGCTAATGGAAGGACTTGCCCCCACCATCTCCCCTGGACGCTGCTGGTGCCAGCTGCTGCTTCTCAGAGATGTCCCCTGACTGCAGGAACTGCGCTGGGACCTGACTGTACTGAGTGGTGGCAGCATGATCCACCGTGGACACATGAATGAGCAGCCAGACGCAAGGACCTGCTGGAGGCAGCTCCCGCCCTCATAGGCTCTGGGGTCCTGCTTCCCTCAGAACTGCTGGCTTTGCTCCATCCCTGACCTTTGGCTCCGGGGTGACTCTCTGGTCGTTTGCTTCACCTGGTGCCCAAGAGGCTGGGCAGAGCCTGGGCCCCGCCCCTTAGCTGGGGTTGTGTTGCTTTGTTAAGATGTTTTCTTAATAAGATTTTCCTACCAAATGCTTCTCTGGATTGCCTCGTTCTGTTCTGTTCTGTTCCCAGCTGGGGTGGGAATCGGGGCTCAGGCGCTTGCAGCCCGAGCTGGGCCCGGCCGCAGCTCCAGCCCTGGGAAACGCTGCCGAG